TGTGTGCATGGCTGAGAAAAAGAAGAGTAAGAGTATGGGTGTTGGGGTTGAGGTGTACTCTGCAAATTCGGATTCTTGGAAGAAAATTGAGTTGGGTTTTCGGTTTAAGGTGCGTTCGACCAAGAATAATGCCATTGTGAATGGAAATCCGTATTGGGTCGCGAAAATCGACGAGGAAAAGGGTGTAGAGAGTATTCTTGGTGAGGCTTTAGTGTGCTTTGATGTGACAAAAATGGTTTTCAAGATTTTGCCCCTTTCGGGATTTAGCCTTCGTGGAGGGGCTGAGGTGCCATTGGTGGATTGGAAGGGTTCTCTTGGTGCAATTGTGTGTGATAAAAACTTCGAAAGGGTTGAGTCTCTTGATGTTTGGGTGTTAGATGAGAGTGAGAAGATTTGGACCAAGAATCACACTTTTGGGCCGATCGAGCTGAAAGTCGATCGGATTTTGCAGTGTTCTAACAATGGGATGATTCTTGGGGAGTGCCCTGACGGCAAGCTGTTTGTGTTAGATCCTCTGAGTGGAAGTGTTGAGGAGATTGTTATCGACGAGGCCCAAAAGCGTTCTTCTTTTGTGATCTACGGATATACCGAGAGTTTGGCATGTGTTGAAGGAATGGAAAAGGTGGTGGTGAAGAAAGAAGTCGAGGAAGAAAAGTATGAAGATGAAGATGGGGAGAATTCGGAGGAGGGGCCGGATATCAACATTGCGAGTTTATTGGCATTCTAAAGATTATGGTTAATTAGCTGCATTTTGCATTTTAGACTTTTGTTAACATCTACCCCTTTTTGTGTGAAAACTTGGTATGAAGAAGGGGTTTACTAGTTACTACTTACTACTAATGTTGGATGTTGTTAAGAGTATTTTGTGGTAGTTTTATTATGCTGGGATTAGTTTTCTTATTATGATATCTAAAGTTTGTTGTTTAATGTTTTAGTACTTGTTATAAATGGCTATGGTTTTTGTTAACTGGGTATCATGAAGAAACTGTTTTCTATTTTGTGTTTGATTGGGTATTTGGTATTTGTTGATGAGTGGTTTTTGCATGGGTGGTTGATACTTGCTATGGTCAGGTAATGTAGCATTGCTTGCATAACTTCACAATTTGATTGCATTGTATAATTAAGCCAACGTTTGTTTATATATAGTAAAATATTATTTATTATGTAATATAAACTTCTATAGAAATAATAAAAATATTTGGAGCATAATTTGTTTATGAAAAATGTAAAATAAACTTTGAATTATTTGGTGCAGATTTAGATATGCAAATTAAATTATTTGGAGCATAATTTGTTTAATTGGTATACAAAATTAAATTTTAAAAAAACATGTATGTATATTTTTGTAAAATATTTATACACTATTTAATTTAAAATTTATTTACATATTTTAAATTGATTACATAAAAAAATAATACTAACGTGGATTTTTTTTTCATTACACAAAATTAAAAGGAAAAGATCGACGTACAACTTCTATAACTTTTATAATAATAATGACATTATATGTCAACAAAGTTTATAACAAAATAATAATAAAGTATTATATGATACACAAGAATAAATAAAACTATTATTTTTTTATATCAAGAAATAAATATATATACTAAAATCAAATTTATATGAGTATAGATGTGTTAGTAAAATAATATATTAACTATTTACAAATTTGTCTTAACATGCCCATATTTAACGTTCTGACTACAAAATATTTTTGAGTAAAAGAGGCAGACAATAGATTATAACTCTATTGTTATTAAACTTAACAGTTAATTAAAATAAGTGGGAAATAGATGAAAATTCTATTTCTTTTTAAAATTAAATGAATAGAACCAGTAAAAATAACTCTATTTGATATATTATATACACTGTATAGCCGTGTCTCTGAAAACCCTATCCTCTACATTTTCGCCTCTTTTCACGAGAACACAATCAGCTTCAAAATGGCCGCCGCCGCCGACGCCGGCTGCGTTTTCCCGGAGGATATCATGGCGTCCATTCTCACGCGCCTCCCCGTAAAACCCCTCGCCCGCTTCAAATCAGTCTGCAAGCCCTGGCTCCGCCTCCTCTCCTCGCCCCAATTCATCAAATCCCACCACGCCCACCTCTTCTCCGACCCCAAGAACGAGTCTTTCTTGCTCCACATCCCCACCAGCAACTCCATTTCCCTCCTCAACCTCCACCGCACCCCCAAAACTCCGGCTGCCATCCGCCACCCCTTCTCCCACACAGAATCCCCCTTCTATATCATCGGTTCCTGCCACGGCCTGATCTGCCTCGTCTCCGGCCGGAAAATCTTCCTCTGGAACCCCGCCCTCGGACTATCTAAGGAGATCCCCCCGCCGGAGGACTGCGGGCCGGATCGGAGGGCCTCCCTCGGATTCGGCTACTCGTCGTCCTCAGCTGATTTTAAGGTTGTGAGGCTCGTGGGCATGCGAAGCCCGTGCCCCACCGACGGCCTAATCATCCTCTGGGCCAACCTGTACTCTGCGAATTCGGATTCTTGGACACGGGTCGAGCTCGATCTCCCGTTCCTCATGGTGTGGGAACCTGTGTGCAATGTGATTGTGGGCGGGTGCCCATATTGGTCAACGGAGGGCAATGGGAATGGAATGGGGTGGTTCGATGTGAATGATACAGTTTTCAAGAAACTGTCCAGCATCGACCTCCCGAACAAGGGCTCGGGAATCAAATTTTTCGACATGGATGGACGACTAGGAGCCCTAGTGTATGATTCATTCGTGTACAAGGAGTTGGATGAGCTGCTCCATGTTTGGTCGTATGATGATGTGGACGGGAAATGGAGGAAGATGCAGAGTTTTAGGCGGCCTGTCAATGTGGCCCGTCAACTCTCAAGAAATGGGAGGATTGTGGCTGTAAATCGTGACGTTAGCTTGAGAGATGGGATGATGATTGTGTCTATAAAGCCCGGCTCTAGGCTATTCGTGTATGATCCTGTGACAGAAGGTCTTGAGTACGTATCTTATGCTTATCCTACAACTACAAACTCGTTGTGTTCGTACACTGAGAGTTTGGCGTACGTGGAGGGAATGAAGCCGATGTAGGGGGATAAAGAGAAGTTGTTCGGATTTCTTTGTTGACTTTAGATGTTTGCTATTGTTGTGGTCCACTCCTGTTTTTT